CACCTGACTCTTGCATCACCTCCTGTTTGCTCTGATGGAAAGCATAAGTTGGCAGGTGAGCGGGGGACACCGTCTTCCCAACCTGACCAGCAAGTGCATCTCACCAGCTGACATCAATTAGCCCCCTTCCTGCCTGCCTGGCCCCCTCACCACTGTCTGTGTAGGGCACAGAACCACCCTAAGGACCGAGGAGTTGCAACCATCTTTCTGACAACCAGTACACATGGGAGGCATGGATGAGAGCAGCATAGGCTCCATAGGCTTCCTGCTTACCCTAAGCTTGCATTAAGCCTCTTCTGCTATGTCTTCCCTTCTGTTGATTAAATTAGCTTGATTAAGCCTAGCACATATGACTGTACACTGCAGTCATATATCCTGGCTGATTGCAATGTCAATATGTGTGTAGTTAAATTCCCTTTTGCTTTACTTAAGCAGTGTGAAACTTTGACTGAGTTCTATCTTTAATAGCTCTACAATTTATGTTCATTGACAACGGGCGCAAAACAAAATGAAATTCAAATCACAGTGGACAGCCTCTCTCAATCTCTGTGCTTAATTAAATGCTTCTCTTCAGGAACACTAAATATGAAAAACTTGTTAGCAGAAGAGATGAGGCCACCAATGTGTTACTTAGGCTGTGCACACTGGAAGTGAGGTTCTGATCTTTGCATATATTCTTCTTTTTGTTTGACAATACATGTCAGTAAGTTTTTACCACTGATGCTTCAGTTCTCCCTGAGGCATGTTGTGCTGATGTTGGAATACGTATTTACTCTAAACTCATCTCTGCATTGTTGACCTTAAGTGTGGGTGGAAAAGTGTAAAAATGAAACAGGTATTGTCTGAACATCTTTCATCCAGTTCTTCCAAAGCCTGCAACTCTACCGTTGAGGACATTAATGTGGAAAAGTAATCTCAAATGAAGTCAAAGGCCAAGCTGTTTTTATTTTTCAATACAATGAGCCTCATTCATTTGGAAGTTGATGGAAAAATTAAATTAAGCATTTGCATGTACTGTAGATTGATGGAGGTCATGTTTCCAACTTGCTTTATGGTTACTTACGTTGCAGACATCTTTACAAAGCAGATAAATACTGTAGATAATACTGCTTAGGGCAGCTGTGACAAGGATAGTTATTTGCATGTGTCCATAATATTTAAGTTGTATTTTTTGAGTGTAGTAATGTCAAGAAACAAACTTGGGCCATAGGAACACACTTTTGCTCCTAAAGACAGTCTTTCTTATACCTAGGGAATGTTGGAGGTATATTGTCCTTACTTAATTACAAGATGCTATAGTTTAACCCTGTTCTTTTTGTTAATAATGAAAAGGGGAGAGGCTGAGAGAACCTAATAATAATGGTTGGATTATAAAGACCTTCTATAAAAGTCTTTCCCATCTGTCTCTCCCAGTGGAAAAATTAAGAGGAATCAAATAAAATTACCAGGAAGCAAACTGGAGGAAGAGACAAAAAATGGTGTTTCTCTGCATCACTGAAGTTGGGGGTGGGGTTTGTGTGAAGGAGCAAACTTGTGAGCATATATATATCCTGATCTTCTCTGATTAATTGAGTACTCTTAGCTTATAAGGTTTTTTAATTGTCAAAAGCATCAAAGGGAAAATGAGGAAATCTTGACAAAGAAGGCTCTACAGTAGAGACTGATGTGTCAGTAATTCATCCTTTTGTGGGCTTGAGAATTATGAATTCTGATAATATTGCATATTGTTTGTCATACTCCTTAGTCATAATACGCCAAAATAAGTGTACTAATTCTAAATATCCTGGTTTTTTTGAGGCTCAGGTTAGACCTTTAGGACTACAATTTCAGCCTAGCCTCTATAGGGCCTCTGTAAATTATAGTGAGGTGCAGTCAACTATTTAGATAGATTGTGTCGGAAAATAATTGCATGTGCAAAAAAATGAAACCTAATATTTGAAAACCTAGCTCTATCTTATTCTGAAGTAATTTTCTGTTTGTGATATATAATAGTATAGTAGCAAGTTAAAGTGCATGGACAATTATTTGGACAAAGCATCTCAGTTTTGCTGAAAGTACTGGTGTTGAAGAACTATAAAATAGTGATGTGAGGGAGAAAGAGGAAAATGTTGGGCGTGGTTACCTCTCAGTAAGAGACTACTCAATGCAAAATAGAATTCAAATAAACATGTTTACCTGTGTAGACATGGTAAATGTGTTAAAAACAACCCAGAGCAAAGTGTTTAGGAGTGATAATCCAAAAGCTGAGAACATGTGCTAGAGCAGTTTTTTAGCAGTCCTGCCTAGAGAAGGATGTAAGATCACTTTTAAGAAAAAAAAAAACAAACAACAAAACCCTTGAAAACATCAGACTGCTACATGGCTGCAGTAAAACTAAGGCAAATGGATTCCAGCAGGCATTACAAGAATAGGACAAGAGAAAGATTCAAATAGGCTTGTATGTAAGGTACAGCCTGGAACTAATATAGAATCTTACTGTACAGGAAAACTATTAGAAGAGATGTTTAAAAATGGCTAATGAAAAAGAAACCTACAAAGATACCTGCCAGGTCCAGTGTCTGGTTATTAGCAATATTATTAACATTAAAATTAGTTCTCAAATAAGATTAATTTAATCTCTAATTTATTAATAGCATTTCTGGACTATGGATACTAAGACTAAAGTCTGTATTCCAATACTAATTACCTCAATGCCAAACTAAGGGAAATAAAACTTCTTGATTCCATCTTGCTGTTTGTTCTTTTCAAGTATTTTAGGACTAGGTTAGCCCTTTGGCAGCAGAATTGTTTAGGATCCACTCTTGGCTGAATATGACAATGACTCTGAAGCTCTAGTCACAGCTTGTGCCCCACAGCCCACACGTGTACACGTTGTTCCCAGATTAATAGCTTTAATAGGGACTTAAAAGTACGCTCACTGGACAGCAGGTTGTTCAGATTTCCCTGCAGCTCCAGTATTAATTAGGGATAAAGATTTCATCACTGGATAATATGAAGTGAGATGATGGAGACCTTAAACTGTACAAGCTGAAATTTCCTCTGCACTAAGTCAAAGTGATGATACATTGCCAGTGACTACCTAATTAGTACATGCAGCTACTGCTAATGACCCCCCTTCTTCTCCTTTCAGCTGGCGCCTCACAATATCATGAGAGAACTTTCAAACATCCCATCAGCAAACACCTCTGAGCTGCCATTTCTTTCACAAATGAAGGAATCAAAGGCTCTTTAAGAATAAAATAACACAATATTATAGGTAATGTTATGCAAATTGACATAAGCTGCGTGCACTCCTAATGATTTTCTGGTTGATCTTCCAAGGATGAAGAAATTGCTTCTTGTGAATGTATTTCCCTTCCTTGTTTTTTTTGTGAGGTGGGGCCTCAGCTTGAAAAACAAAATCAGGGTGATAAATAACTGTGTTCCAAACTTCATGTGCATAGGAGGCTTTAATATGATACTTATTGGTCTTTAGGAGATGTCTCCCATTCTTACTGCTGTTGTTCCTGTAACTTTTCTCCCCTACCCCATGCCTTAAAAGTCTTTAAAGATGGAGGCTAAAGATTTTCTCAAAAAGATCATGTGTTTTCTGTGGCAATGAACTTCACAAATAAACTATAGAAGACTGCACATTAGGGAATAGGTGTGATCAAATGCATTTGGACTGCTTTGTGTCATGTCCTCCCTGTCTGTCCGGGATAGGCTTACAGCCCCACAAAGGGCTATGTGTTCACTGGTCTGTATAAACCATTGAGCAGCATGGACTAAAAGCAGCTGAACTCCTTGATATTTAGCTCATGCCTTGTGTGAGATTTAACTTTATAGTAACTCAAATAAAAATGCAAATTTATTGCCTTTGTAGTCTCTAGATATGAAGTCTTGTTGCAGAACTCTCCTGCAAGCAGGAAGATCTTACACCCTTCTTGTCCTGAATTATGTTAGGAGGTATAAGATAGAACAGGAATTGGCCAAAATCTTTTTCCCAAGTCTTTGTTCCTAATATGAAGCTGTATTAGCAGAACCATTTTTGGTACCGCTTTTAAAAATGTGACAATTTTCATGAGTAAGTAAAAAGTTGGACAGAACTGTTTCTGAATCTATCCTCAGTTTGTGCTATTGTGTAATCATCACACCTTGTGTGATGATTAAAGGCAGTATGTGTTATTTGCTGTTTCATATTTGGCAGTGGCTCAGAACAAACACAGCATAGCTTGAAAATACAGTTCTATGGGTTTGTTATTTCCAGAAAGTGACAAAACTTGCATCTCAGAAGTTCAATGTAATCTCTGTAATAATGGATACCTTTTTAAAAATAGGGAGAAGTTTTTGTGATGTTTCAGAAAACATAAAAGGCCAGGGAGACTGATAAGGCATAAAGGGTACATTTAAAAGGAATATAACTAGACAGTTACAAAATGGACAAAGTCAAATGAGAGCATATTGATAGTCACATATTCTAAAAAGCCAAGGAAAAATTTGGTTTAGATATATGTTAGCGTAGAATCAAAGTCACTGCATTTAGATTTAATGGACTTTGTTTAATTGCTCCCAACATACTGTAAAGATAGAATAAAATATGTAGCTATTGCTAGTACTCTTGGGCCTTTTCCAGAAACAAGTCTAGGCAGCACTGATCTTTAGTCTCCTTTAGAGGAATATAACCCTGGACTCAATTACTCAAAATTTAAATTTAAAATAATGTAGAAGAGAACAAAATGTGTGTCCAATTTGAGCCAAATGATACTTAAAAGTAGTCATATTTGGTAAAGTCATGCTATCTTTCATCTCCTGCATTATTAGCATTATTATTATAGGGTTTTCTCATATGCTGTTGGAAACTTACAGCTGCACCTGGCATTGACTTATTCCTTTTTAACTTACCCATGTCAACAAGTGGCTCTGAATTTGGCCATTCTGTCTTGTTATTTCTATTTCAATGGCTGTTTTTTTTAAAAAATGGACCAAAAGAAAATAAAAAAAAATCCCTGTTTCCCACTTACCACTTTTAAGTCTTAAATTCCCGTTCTCTGTTTCTGTTTTACTGACTGGAGTTTTTCAAATCACTGGAGCTTCTCCTCCATCTTGATCACTTCATTGCCTTGAAATACAGAAGTGCCAGTGATCTTTTTTCCCTTTGATTCATAGGTGAAGGCTCTGGGGACAGCAGAGGAAATTATGCTGGCAGCTTAATACAGATCCATCAGTAAGACTTGGTATTGATAGTATGCATGGAATGAATCTATTAAAAAGTCAAAGAATAGCATTTAGGAAAATACAGCATTTTATAGCAATATTTTGCCTTGGCATCCACCAAGAAATATATTCATGTAGAGCGACATAACATTCAGTGGAGTGGAAAATAGTTTATGTAAAATTGTCCTCACTATGAAATTGTATCAATATACAGGGGAAAAAAAGGAGAGATTTTTAAAGGTAAGAAGCAAAGCTGTTCTGTTGCTTCACGAAAAGGCTTTTACATGTGATAAAAATTAGTTTAGACAGCTAAGCAAAACAGCTAATTCACAGGAATTACCGAAGAAAACAAGTCTTAGGCACTGTGAAGAGAGGTTACATTTAGGTCAGGACCTCATAAATGATCATGACAGAAAATCGTATGCTCTTTTTGTCTGACCTGCATGAAATATCCATGTCTGCCCTAACTCATAAATGATATTAGGTCTGTAGTCTGACTCATTCATAAGCCAGTCTTTGATAATCCTCTGATGGATGATCATGATTTCCAGTGATGAGAAGATATTTATAGTCTGGTGTTTTGGCTACTTCTCATGCAGATAATCTCTTCCCACAGAAACAAGGGAGCGCAACAAGACAAAACTTTTCAGTGAATAGTTTGATTCCTGCCCAAATCTTTCAGCCCCTGGGGATGTGTGGGAGGCCAGAGATGTGTCTTTCAAGCCCAAGTTCTTTCTGTTCTTCTCCATGCCATCGAAGTTGTGGCTCTGAGGTTCTCATCAGCTGTTGCCATTGGCCTTCAAGACCATATAAAAGAAGATATAAAGTAGTTAATGCAGCCTTGGGCTTAGGCTGTGTGGTTGTCAGCTCTATTCACTTGCTTTTCCTTTTTGACTGGGCCTAGAGCCAGATCCCCAGACTTTAAAGAGATGGTGCTGGAAGGGCATGGATACAAGTGTAAAGGATTATGAACTCAATTACTTTTAGCCAGATGGTTTCTATGAGCCACAAAATTCCTTTCGAAGATGGGTGTGGTGGGTTTTTTAAATGTCTTTTAATATCAAAGATTATTGGTTTATATCTGGTTTATATCTATTATAATACAGTGGTCTCCAAAGAGATTTATTTTTACCTTTCAAATTAAAAAGGCAAAACCCTAAAATTATACTTCTACCTTTCTAACTGTTATAATTCAGTAGTCTACTACAAAAGGTAAAACTGTCAGGAAGTTCTGAGTTCAGTATTGTGCAGTTTCCTTACCCTGTTTTTTACTGGCCTTTATCACGCAAAGCTTACAGTAGATAATTTTACTTGGAAATTCTGGTTAGCTTAGTGGAGCCAGCTTTCCAAAGTTTAGGGCAGGACCCTGTGATTTCATACAAAAGACACTGCTAATCTGTTTCTGGTTTTAAAAACAAGCCCAAAAAGCTCTTTGGACTTGAAACCCATAGAAAGTGACTTTTCCTTTAGTTTCAACCGTATTGACAGGAGAGTGTTCTGCTGCTGTCTTAACTGTTTCATTCTAAATCTTTCTTTGTTGCATGAACTTTTACATGTGTTCTGTTATTACACAACTTTTTCAGGTATTTTATCTATGACTTCTTTGGGTCATGCAAGCACAGTGTCCAAACTATTTCTCAGAAGAGTTAGTATTACAGTGCTCTGATAATCTCAGAAGGGTATATTAAGCTCCAGAACTGTTTCCCACATTGACATTTTCTTGATTTGACCAATATATGGGAAATCAGAGGCACTCAGTCGGAGTTTAGGTAAGTTTTCTGTGTAGCTTGGAAATCTTCAGTAGCTGCCTTTCATTTCAGTGGTTTTCTCTGAACTTTGCAGTTTCTTATGCTGGCCAAAAGAGGAGACTTATCTGTAGAGACATCTAATGTCTGTGCTAAATGTGAAAAAGGCTTGAGGGTCAGTAACTTGAGACTTGCTAAAATGGTGGATATGCTGCATGGAGCTGACAAATACAATCTTCGTTTTTGGTGGAGAAATAGCGTGTTCAGTGAAAATATAAAGTTTTGTGTTCTGAATTCTGCAATCTTGATACAGGAAAGCTACCCTCCTTAAGCTGATCTCTGGGTGCATTTCATAACAGCCATTACAGTGGCTGTCACGTTAGATTGAAGTGATGATTCAGGTAGTGGCAAAGTCTTTAAACACCTGGACGTATCACTGTTTCAAACCATGCACTGCAGCAGTCAGGACTGAATGGTTCAACAGTCAGTCTATTGTTCTAATTTGAGGCACTAACAGACCTTTATCATACTGCTTTAAATACCACACAGCATGTATTTCAATCCAAGAAATATTTTTAAAAAATATAATAATTCTTTACTGGTGGTTTAAGAAAAGGGATGGGAAAGTGGACTCATTGTCTGTGTCTATATGGCACCAACTTTCATATCATAAGGAGTGCTATTGTAACTTAGAATCTGCCTTCAGTGAATGCACATCCTTTGCATGCTGCTGCTGGATATGTCTGTATAGTGCAAAGTAATGTTTTTTTTTTCCTAGGGGTTTAATAGGTTGTTACTTATAATTTCCTTCATGGATAATTTTAATTATATAATTTTAATTTCCTTCCTTTGTGGATATGACATTATGAAATTAATGCTAAATTCTTTGTACCCAACAGGGCAAAGAAAATGCAAAATTCCCTCTTCCCAGTTATCCTTGTCAGTATAGTCAACTGCAAGACATGGCTAGGTTATATACAGACAACCTAGACTCTTTCCCTTAAGAGTTCTCAAGCCAAAGGCAGTTTTAATGAAGCATTTATACCAGTGAGTAGAGAAAAATGTTTTTTTCTCTTTGTTTTGTTTGTTTTTAGAGGTTTTTAAATGGTTGAGAAACCAAATTGCTTGGACAGTCAGAGGAAGATGAGAAGTCACAGGTGAAAATACAGACATAACAGTAATTTTGTTTTTCTTGGAAAACAGGAGGAAGAGGGCTGCTAACACCCTCAAAAAATGACATGATGGGATTTGGTTTAAGTATTTAGAGTGAACATGATACAGCCATCCTTGGGAGCAGAAGCTATGATGCTGCAGGAATCAAAGTGTCTCCACAAATTGATTACATAAAACGTTCTGTAAAATGGAAAGTGGGGAATGGAATCAGATCAGTAACACTGCAGGATCTGACTTTTCGGAGCTGCTCAGCACTCTGAGTTTGCACCAGTCCCACAGAAACCATGTCCTCCACCTGGTAGTGGGGGCACATTAGAATGCTTTCCTATTATCTACTTTTTACAAACCCACAGATTAATTATGACTGTAAGGAACCTGTTTGGTGCTGGGTAGACCAAGGGTTTGAAATAGTATGGAAAATATTACACAACACTGGGGGAAAAGCCTGTTCATAGAGAAAATTTGGAATTTACAGGATAGGAGTCCTCCATGTATAAAAATTCTCCCCAGAGAGAAAGCCAAGGCTGACTCACTTTTGCTTTAACCTTCTGTGCTGAACACAAACAAACTTAAGGTACAAACAGATTGGGAATTAATTGGTGTAATTAACATTTTGTGATCATAATGACTTCTAATCAATATTTTATGCAAATAGTTGTATTGATGTGTTGAAAAATGGGTGCTCATTGTATTTGGATGGGGAAAAAAACACAATCCACTTTAAAGTCCTAATGAAATTCAAACCTTTCAGCTCAGGTAAAGTCCTGACCACATCTTTTTCAAGGTAAAAAGAGGATCTTTTAGTGACCTATTTAATTAAAATTGCTCTGATACAGCTGCTGACTAAACTTCATGAAATGAGGTGACTGGAGGATGAAACACATTCTCCTGCTGACAGTTCCCTCTGTTAAACCCACTATGTTTCATCATATTAACAAAGCAAAACAGAGAAACCGTCGTGATCCGAGCTCGCAGCAGTGAAACCCCTTCCCATGGCAGGAGTAACCTGGGGGACTTGATTCAGATGTCAAAGAAGTAAATGGGTTATCAAGAAGCTTTCAAGGCCTGGAGGAAAGGGTTAGAAGGTTCTTTTTAGATGAGTGAAAGGAGTCTGGCTTCTTCTTCTATCTCTAGAAATCACCTTCAAATTGCTCCTCAGTTCTTTTTCTTTCTGAAGTTGTATTTAGAATGGGTAGGTTAGTGATCAGAAAAGGTTAGACAGGAGCTGCCAGTGCTCCCACACTCCAACATGCAACTTTCTCTGGTAAGTGGTACCTTTAACATACCTTATTTACCAGTAGTTCCAAATTTTTCCTCTTTTGAATATGAATTGGAGATTTGGAAATGTAAAAATGCGATCACTGCTCAGCTTAAGTCAAATACTTCCTGCATCATCTACCTAGGTGTATTATGGAATGAAAAAAAAAAATCTTCTTTTTGATCCTTGGTGTTCAGAAGTAGCAGGAGTGGGTTTGAAATACTGGTTTGTAAATCTTCAGACATAAGGACACCTCAAATGTCACGGCATGAGTTCTTTGCAATAAGATCAGCATGCTTTTACGATTGCAACGACTTGATCATCTTAAGGGTCTTTTCCCACCTAAATGATCCTATGAAATATATTTCAGGTCTTCAGTTTGGGTGGTGATGGATATGTTTTCACAGAGTACTGGAGGCCGTCAGTGACAGGCCTTTCTTGGGGCAGTCTCAGGACTGTGACAAGTCAGGACTGACAGATCTTGGAAATACCTTGGGAAGACTATATAGTTGGCTTTTGTGACAACCCTACTCTTTACCAACACTTTCCAAAGAAGAAAACAGTGACAAAGTAGACAAACAAGCATTTTACATATACAGTGTTGATCTTTGTTTTAGAAATGGAGTAAAAATGCTTTTGTTATGGTTTTTATATTCTCAAAGGAAAAGTCACCTTACTGCTAGGAATGCTTAAGAGCTTGCTGGAGTTTGTTACTACTTTGATGTTAGTTTTGTAAAACTTGCAAGCCTTTTGACGAGTCATAATGAAGCATTAAACTCTTCAAGAGAGCCTGATAAGCAAACTCCCTTAGTCCTCAAAGAGGAGGCAGTTCATGCCAGGTATTGGCCAAAAATAGCTGTTGGGATTTCACACAGTAAGCATGTGTCTCATCAGCATTCTGCAGTGCTGCCAAAGTTTGCTATAGCATGAAGGAGAAAGAAACAAAGAAACATAAGGAGAAGGGGGAGAAAGGAAGCTAATGAGAAGAAAAATTGCTTTTTAGCTGTTCATTGGAACTATTTTGATTTCCCAGTGAACCTGAACGGCATCTTAGGTGATAATGGGGGAAGCTAGCATTTTTGGCACCTGAGTAGGACACATTTGCAGTTTGGGCACTCTGGAAAGAGCTAGTCCAAGTGTTTTGCTGAACAGTGATAGGATGGAGTTTCTCTACTTTCCCAGTGTCTGGCTGAATTGGGACCTTAGTCTGGCTTCAGTGGTAAAAGTGTCCCCCAAAAACTGTGGGTCTTTGACTTGAAATGCCACAGGCCACAGTCCCTTATTAGTGAAGGACTCATATTTTATATGTATATAAATGTCTATTTAATTACTCTGGAAGCACAGAGGGACCTTGAAGTTGCTGTAAATGCCAGAGGGTACAAGACTTTCTTATATGACAATCAAACAATATGTCACTCTGTTTCTATGGTTTGATGGTTTTAGGTTTGTTTTTTTTTTTTAGCATAGGGCAACATACAGTGCAGTTACTTGAGAGAGACACTCAAAGGAAATTTGAGAAGATTCCTGCTTGGGTCTACCTTCATCTGATAATTGCTTTCACAATGTCACTTAGAATAGCAGACAGCAACTCTTCCTCTGAAGATCTCCCCTCTCATTTGCAGCTCAAAATGCTCTTAGTGTTTTGGTCAGGCTGACAGAAAGATTCTGCTGTAGTCAGTGTGTTGAACTCCAAACATCAGAAAGATGCCAAGGTATGTGTCTGTCACACCTTTTGAAGATGTAAAGCTGAAAGTTCAGAAAGTCACTTAGCAGGACATGGGTGGCAGCCACACTGCCATTCTCTTTTTCTTAGAGAAGCAATCTGTGATTTCTTTTCCTCTGTGTGTAGATACGGTTTTTTTCTGTGCATTTATTCTCTGGCACCCCATCCTCCACCAAAAAACTTTGAATTAAATGATTAGAAGCACAGTGGTCTCAAAATATTAAGTTGTTAGATATTTCATGAAAACAAGCATTGCTAGTGCCCTACCATACACCCAGAGTAGTCTGCTATGCAATCCTTGTCACATAGAGAAGAGTCCTTATGAGCCATAGGAGAAATTTGTTTGACACGTGATCTATTAGGTGTAAAGGATACAAATGTTTGGGAGCTTTATTTGGCCTCCTGTTTCCAGAACTGCTTGTCTGCAGATAGTGAAAGTGTTGTGCTGCTTATTGCAGGTAGAATAAACTAATTTTCTGTCTTCCCTGTGTTATAAAGGCCCTTCAGAGCTATAGTTATGATGTTTGCTATCACACTGTGGCCTTCAGTGATGGTAATACAAGTTCAAAACTTCTGTCTGCCTTTATGGTATAAGAAGGATCTGACTAATAGCAAGATTTACAGTCTTTAAAGAATGTATGCAAAAATTCAGTTGCTCAAGGGGCTCTTCTGCTTTGTCCTCAACACAGCATAAATTATCAGGAAATATGGGATCCAACTGAAGGCTCTAATGATTCAGCTTTGTTGAAAGGGAAAGTACAAAAAGCTAAAAAACCTTTTCTGGGGATGCCTTTGATACAGCTAAGGAAGTGGAGACTGCTCTGTATCTACCTGAATTCTGCTTCTGAAAAAGATGAGATAAAATATTTCTACCCTTTGTACCTGTAAAAGACACAAAACTGAAATCTAGGGAGTCCCTGTAGGCTTCAGGAGTATTCTTCAGTCCATTTACCAGCTTGGCCTCTTATTCGCTTTCAGACCTGCTTTGTATTTGGCTGAAAAAAAAAAAAAAAGGTGGCTTAAAATCAAAATACTTTAAATACTGTGCCTCAGTAACTTGCTGTGTGCATGGTGTGTGTTACTTACCTTCCAAAGGATTATAGCCATATGAAGGCAGGCTGGTGTTTCTGCTGCGTTGTGTCATGAAATATCTTTAATTTGTGTAACACTTTTGACTACTGACAAGTGACATTTCTTTCTGGCGTGCCTCCTGCTTTACCTTTAATGTAGAAGCCTGTAGTAAGTATTCTGTAAACAATTCTGAAGCCAGGACTGGGAGTGGGGCTTCTAAGCTGTTTTGGCAATTTTGATGTCTTTGAAACTATGTTGCTGGGCTCATATGTATTTCTGCAACAATTATCTGTGCTGTGATCAGAGCCATGCTAGAAATAATAGCCACATTAGTGGCATCAACACCTTTTCAAATCAATTAATCCCTTAGAATTCTCTTGGGGGGAGGTAAGAAAGAGGGGAAGAACAGCAAACTCAAAAATAGCCCTTTGAAAAGAATTGGCTTGAGACCATAAGATAAAAAAGAGACCTGACAAACTGTGCTGGACAAGTGCAAATATACAGTATTTTGCAGCCTCTAGAGATCTGTTGGGCTGGAGCATGGTGCTTTTGGGGCAGCAACTGGGATTGTGAGTGTGCATTTAGCAGGCAGAATAGATGGTTTCTTGTGACCTGGCACAGGGTTCATAGAAGCAAATCAAAGCAGTTGCCAGAACAAGGTGTTTTGTGGAGATTGTGCATGTGTATGGTCTGTGAACCATTGTTTCACTGAGCTGCAAAGCTGAGAGGAACCACCTGGCGTTGCAATGGAGTCAAACACGCAGGAGAAACAGCATTTGGGAATCCTAAAAGCCATTTCTGCTTTTTTAGTTCCTTGACCTTAAATTGCAATAACAGCTGTGAAACCTTCATGGTTCACTTTGTTGTGCTGTAGGTTCTTTTATTTGTCTTTAGGTGGGCTCTGGGAAATAATTGTGATTAAAACACTTTTATCCTACTGTAAGCCTCTGTCTCAATTTATCTCGAAGAACTCCTGCTTGTACCTGTCTGCCAATACTGGTACAGACGGACAGATTGTATCCTTCCTCTCCTCTTCTCTTTTTTTGCTGAGTGAGGATGAGAACAGGTATTTGACTGAGCTGGTGAAACACTTGGTGGGAGTCCTGCTGCTGCACATGATTCTCCTCCTGCTTCTATGCTGTTGTTGCCTTATCTCTGTCAATCTGATGTTTAAAAAATCTCAGACTCAGTCCTCAAAGCAAGAGCAGACAGTGCATCTTTGAAGAGATTTCAGTGACCTGAAGAAGATTTTTAAGAAGCTTGTGGTTTGCTTACACCTCATGTAGTATAACATGAGATTATTTATATCAGTTATATCAGTTATATTTAGGAGTTTCTAAATGTTTGTCACTTTGGCCATGTCATGAAGACACGTTTCATTGTTTCATTGGCTGAAGGTGTGTGGGACAGTCGTCTCCATGACACTTCATGATGATTTATACTCAAAGCTTTCCATGTTATTGTGTCCCTTGCCTTATTCTACAGTCACAGTCTTGAAATAGCTTAAAAAACCCCAATAATGACAGACAATATATAATTTTTTTCTTTCTCCTTAAGTGGTTAGTAAATTGTCGTATGCTTTTCTTTTTGTGCCAAATGTATGAACAAATCATGGATGATTAAATGCTAAGGTCTCCTTCAGAGGAAAAGAGCATTAATATGGTGGACTGTTTTAAAAATGGGTGTCTTCTGATTGATAATGAAATCAGACAATGCAAATCAAGTGAAAATGAATTAAAGCTGATGCCTGGCAGGGTAGTTGTTTACAAGATTCTTCTGTGTGCTCTAATGTGTGGGGTATTTTTGCCAAGACTTACTAAATGATTAAATGATACTGCAATTAGAATTAAGACTGGCAGAGACATTTGTTAAAATTCTGCTATTTCTTCTTCAAAATATAATCAGTTAAAAAAAGGCCTTTGAAAATGATAGGAACAAATGAGAAGTCAGGAAGTACCAAATAATCGCTTGGCTGCTTCAGTTTACGGAAACCTGAAAATTTTTCCCGGTCAAAATTAAAAATTAAATTACACAAATTATGTCCTCTGTCCTGCAAGTTCACAGGGTGTATGCTTCTGAAAGAGCCAAATAACTATAAAACTGCCTACTTGTCTGCAGGAGAGAAGCCAATAAAGGTCAGGTTTAACCTTCCCTATAACCAAAATCAACAGGTTCTGAACAAATGATTAAAAAACCCATTTACTGCTCTAAGTATTCACTACACCGAGTGAGATCCTTTGAGCTAGCCGATGATCCTAAAACTAATCACATTTCAATTATATGCTTATAAATATTATTATCAAATTATTGATTTGCATAGCCTGAGCATTCAAAGCATCAACCTGGATTAAAGTCTTATTGTTCCAGGGGTGGTAGAGTAGAATGAAAAAGGCAGGCCACAGTAAATATTACAGTCTAAAAAGAGAAATATGATACCTCAGGGAAGTATAGCCAAACTCTGAAAGAAACAAGGAGGCTGAAGAGAACATGGATGTGTTGTTACGTTTGGTCTGGGGGTTTTTTGCTGGTTTGTTTTCTTTTTCTCTGTGATTGGATAGTGAGGCTGAGGTTCACCTGGTACATCATTGCCTGCTTCCAGGTCATACAGCTTTGCTTAGGGACTGAGCAGCCTAGCTGTTAGTAGTGAATTTTTGGGATGTCCCACTCAAGAAGTCCTCACAAGCTTTTCTGAGAAAAATAGACGCTCAGTTTTCTGTAAAACCTGGAGGTTTTAGTAATTAGACCAGAATTTGTTATGTTTTGGAAAGAAAACAAACAAATGAGCCCTCCCCCCCTTTTCCTCTGCACTCTCCCCCACCTGCAATTCTTATGCCTGGACGCCAAAAATTGGAGAAAATTCAACTAACTTTGGAAAACCAGACATGAACTGAATTGTCTATTGTAAAAATGGGAGTCTAGAGCGTTTTAAAATGAGATCTCTAAAAGCTCTTTAATTTCATTGCCACTAAACTTATATGCAAAGCTTTTGAGGCTAGGAGGATTGGCAGCAAGACGGATTATTCCATTCACACAGTACAATAGTAATTAAATGTACAGTGAAAGCCTTTATAAGATTCTGCCAAAATTACTGAAATTATATTGAGCCAAACTCGTGACTAGTGCAACTCCATCTGTGTCAGTGATCCTGCTACAACTGAGCACGGAGAGATGATGAGTCATGAGGAAAAGTGTATTTTCAAGGAAACAGAGGGCAAATGGGTTATTGTAGTACAAACATGAAGCAAGTTTCTAAAATTATGTTTGACAAAGGACAGTATCCTTTCATATTTTCCCAGCTGGTTAAAATTTAACTAGTTTCAGGAGACGGCATGCAGGGTTTGGTCAGAACTGGTGTAGGGAGGGGAAACCTTTCATAAAGAATTGCTAACAAATGGGATTCAACACTCAAGAGGCTCAGATGGCCTATTAATTCTGGTTCTGGCTTTCTTCCAAAACAACTGTGCTTCTCTTAATTCATGGCTAATTTCTATCAGAGATACCAAGAGACCATTTCTTTTTTCGACAGGAAGCATCCACATCACTTAAATGGATTCGTACGAGGGGCTTTAGTGAGCAGACATTGATTGGCTCGTCTCTGGGGCCCAGCAGAGGCCCGACGGGTACTGGTTTGACACAGGCAGCAAATGAAATACGACCTCCTGTAAACGGGCCTGAGCTTTTGGGCCTTTGTGGAATCCGGTAGCTAAGGACCTTTTCAATCCCTTTTAATTAATGAAGTGATTTGACTTGACTGAGATTACACTTACAATAATGAATTAAAAAGTAATAAAAAGAAATCTCTTAACAAATATGCAACAGGGAACAAGGACCAAATTCAGTACATATCTGATCCCCATTATATATCTTGTTTCTGTGAGCACTTCAGATCGATAGTTTTAAAAGGGAGGCTCTTATTTTCCGAGCACTGACATCTGCATACTTCATTTTTTCAAGTGCTTTTGTGTAGAAGATTAAAATTATGATGACCTCATATGCCTAGATGATTAGTTTAGTCCTTTCTTATCTCTGTTGTGCTAAATCTCTCTATTCTTCAGGATTCTTGACGTCTTATCCTAGCCACTTCTGTGCTGTATTTTTCTCCAGTGGTATGGCACATTTTTAGCCACATTTTGCTGCATACCAGTGAGTAATGGTCACTGTGTATATTTTGTAATGGGAATGCAGTCATCCAGTGTCACTTCTGATGGGCACACAATGAGTGTGAACCTATGCCCAGCCCACTTTAAATGATTCCCCTCTGTATTATGTCTGAAATCATGGTTGTGCTTCTCCCCTACCCCTTCATTGTATTTTAAGGTGACATGCTGTAGAAATAATCCTAAATTTACTTGGAAAACAGTCACATTCTGACTCTGGTGGGTATGTTATAATTTTGGAGACGTAACTCACTGTCAGTAGCTTTTCTTCCAGTCTGTTTTGAGTTCAGGTGTGATTTAAGTCAGTGCAAGCCTGGAAAAGCTCCACAGTAATAGTTTGGGGCCATTCTGATCCAGGGAAAGAGCTGTGGCTAGCTTAGACTTCTCCCTGATGTCATATGTCAAGGAGTCAGAAGTGTCTTTCTTGCTGGCTGAGAGGATGCTTCATTGAAATACCTGACTTAAACACTCAAATCAAAGGTGCTGAAATTGAAGGAAAACCTAAGTTGGTGGAATAAATAGATAAAAAAACCTCTGTATTCTTGGCTTAAATTGTGACACCTAGGGGCTTTCATGAATACAAGTGTATTTAAGTGCATAGATGAGGTTAGCTAAGCAAAACCATGGAGGAAACTTCATTCCAAGAGTTACATTTTGCCCACAGTATTGTTCGTTTGTTCATGGACACGCATAAAGTGCTGTGTGTGAACATACCAAAGTAAAGTGTGACACACAGGTATCTTAGAACCTTC